ATGGGACAGTCACAAGCCTCCCGGTTTTCATCCAAAATATCTTAAATTGTGTTCCGAAGACGAACGAAGCTTTTACGGGTTTGGAACGACATGGGGGTAAGTGATCAATGACAAAATTTTAATTTTGGGCTGGAGTATCCCTTTAAACTCTTGATGGACCTACAAGGGATCACGCCGCATCATCAGAATAGTCCATCTGCCATCAGTGGTTCAACCGTAACTTATGAAGTGACGAGAATACTTTTTGTATGCGAAGAAAACAAAAATAACGACTTTATTGAACAATTCGTCTCCTCTATGTCTGTCCGCATCACCGTAGTGCCATTTTGCAGGCAGCTTACGCTCTTCTGTGTCAGCCGCACCAAAAGGATGTGCTGTTTTCTTTCAAATCACAGCATAAATACACGTAGAAAACGTATCCTTGTGGCGCGGCTGACACAGAAGAGCGTACGCTGCCTGCGTTCAGCTCATATTCTCCAAAATGGCGCTACGGTGATGCGTAGAGACACAGAGGAGACGAATTGTTGAATAAAGTCGTTATTTTTGTTTTCTTCGCGTACAAAAAGTATTCTCGTCGCTTCATAACGTCACGGTTGAACCACTGATGACAGATGGACTATTCTGACGATGCTTTTCATACTTTTCTGGACCTTGACAGTGTAATTTACTTGGCAGTCTATGGGACAGTCACAAGCCTCCCGGTTTTCATCCAAAATATCTTAAATTGTGTTCCGAAGACGAACGAAGCTTTTACGGGTTTGGAACGACATGGGGGTAAGTGATCAATGACAAAATTTTCATTTTGGGCTGGAGTATCCCTTTAAACTCTTGATGGACCTACAAGGGATCACGCTGCCTTATATGAAACTGAACAAAATAGAAATTAAGAGTATTCATTTAAAATACATTGAGATAAAGAGATATTTACTAATCAAGTCACTCATTCAGCCATCTTTTTTTATGTGTCAATCATAGATACCGAAGAGTTTCCCGATCCATCTGAACACCAGCCAGTTCAGTGCTTTCATTCCACAGGTCAGTATACTGTGTGTACAGGTTGTGATTTTGGAAGTAAAAATCGAACATGTTAACCTGCACAAGGACGCCAACGTCCTGAAGCATCCTTTGTTTGTTTTGAATATATTAGTTACTGTTATAAACTGCTATAATGTTATAAAGTAAAACAATGTAATTAACTTGACAAACAATACATGATTAAAAAGGTCTACATCTCAAGCTTCAATCTGTTTTACTATATAATATACTATTTAAATAACTTTTATTTACACTCATTTCTTTGTATCAAAAGTATTAATTAATATTTAATTATTATACAAATATTTCATAACTAACTACACATGATACAACTACATGGTTGCATATACTGATGAAACACCAATTAGGACTTATGTGTCTGTCTCTGTCTGTTACATGTTCTATAGTTTCTACAAGTTGTTATCCAGATGAATAATGTGATTTCTTTGCAAATTGTTTGTTCAGCTGCGCACATTATATCCCAACATGGAGATGCAGGTGCTCTTGTACGCCAGTAAGACGCCACTATTCTCCTTCAGTTCAGGGGTGATAGACATTCACGTACCTGTTGCCGCAAAGTTCTCAGTTGTTAAACCTGATGGCATGCTGGTGCCTCTTTTCAGACTGGATGTGGTGAGTTTTGTCTTTGGATACACAAAATAATGTAAAACAAAAACAAACAAACAAAAAGGTAAGAGGAACTCTCATACTCTCACAGTAAGTAGTAACAGTTAGAACTGCAGCTGCTCATATTTGTACAAAACGGTACAAATGCTAGTTGGCAACACCTGCAGCACGCTGTAAAGTAGAAGCTGCAAACAGTGTTATAATACCATGTATTCACTGAATCGTTCAATATGTGATTTATGTAAAGGGTATCAGCAATTCAGCTTAAAATTGAATAACTTAAGTGTTCCTCTCACACTCCCCCTGCAGGACGGCAGCTTCAGTGGAAGTGCTTTGATTGACAATAAACACCTTACTGGAGATTTTAAAATGAAAAAGTGAGTTATATTGATATTTGTTAAATTAAAGTTGCAGTCAAATGGGATTTATTCAGGGGTGGGTCTACATGGTGGCCAGTTGTGGCACCGGCCCCCACAGAAATCTGATTGGCCACCCCAGGTGATGTCAAATACATGGTGTGCCTTTGTTACAATCTACCCCACTACTGGGATGGGTTGTAAACACATGCTAGGGTAAGTTATAACAATTAGACAAAAGAAGCAAAAACAGCAACCACATTTTGCAATTTGCTTCAAAATATGGTTTATTGAAACAATCCAAAGGAACAACACAAAATGTCTCACTTTCTGTGACTGACCACAGCTCAAATTCACTTTCTGTTTGACAAAGGAGTTGTGTGTGTGTGTGTGTTGGACTACTATAGAACAAACTTCCTTAATTGTATTTATGCCTAATGAACACTCAACTTTTGTCTAACTCCAGTGTACCTAGGTAAAGAACATGTAGATCTAACAATAAACTGTGCAAATTTGTGTTAGATTGTGTCTATGTATGAATATTCTCAATCAAATTAACAGTGGTCAATGTTTTTAAACCTAGAGTGCAGGCATGGTGGATCCAGGGACTGCAGAGGGCACATTTTCCCTCACTTCCTCTGGCTTTGAGCTGCCAAATGGTTCTGTATAGACAACATAAAAGTTTTATTTTATTTTATTTTACCTGACACACATCTTTTTCACAAACCTGAAGTGCAGAGACGGGGGTTGCTGGGGGTGTTAATAGAGAGAAAGTCAGAATGGCTGTGGGGTGTGAGACAAGGTTTTTCAAACCTGCAATAAAACTCGTTCAAATTGTCAGCCAGTTGTTGATTCTCCACAGTGCTGGGGGATGGTGTCTTGTAATTGGTGATGTCTATCAGTCCTTTCCATACTGACGCCGGGTCATTGGCAGAAAACTGGTTTCTCAGCTTTTCGGAGTTGTTTCTCTTAGCCACTCTGATCACCTTTGTCAGTGTGTGTTTGGCCTGTTTATACAAGACTCTTTCCCTAGTCCTGTAGGCATTATCTTTGGCCTGACGGAGCTGTCTGAGTTTTGCAGTGAACCATGGTTTGTCGTTGTTATAATTTAAATGAGTCCTGGCAGGAATGCACATATCCTCACAGAAACTGATATATGATGTTACAGTGTCTGTGAGCTCGTCCAGATCATTGGCAGCAGCTTCAAATGCAGTCTAAGCAGGCTTGTAAATTCCGCTCTGCTTCATTATCTTTTTTACAGTCATTATTACAGGTTTAACTGATTTCAGTTTCTACCTGTAGGTCGGTATAAGTTGAACCAAACAGTGATCAGAGAGCCCCAAAGCTGCCCGTGGGATGTTATAATCATTCTTTTTTTAATCTAGAGACTCAGAACATTGATGTGGAAAACTGCTTTTTTCACAGCCGTTCTGCCATGACAACTCTTTGAGAAATTGGCATGGCGATGTGATAATGTATTTGGTCAGAACAGATCTGCTTCACTGCTGTTGTTGAATATTGCTGCTGCTGCAGAGCAAGTATAGGGACTTGGGTCACACTTTAGTTTGGGGACCAATTCTCACTATTAACTATTACTTTTACCTCGTTAAACTCTTAATTTGCTGCTTATTAATTGTAAGGTAGTTGTTAAGTTTAGGTATGGGGTAGGATATGGGGATCTAAAATATGGTCATGAAGAATAAGGCATTAATATGCATGCAAATAAGTGACTAGTTAATAGTGAGAATTGGTCCCTAAACTAAAGTGTTACCAAAAGGGTATAAGCGTACATGCTTATTTCACTTTAACATATCCACAAAGCTAAGTCACTGTCCTCACAACAAATTCATAATAGACAGCTTGCTGCAGCAGCTATATAAAAACAGTTGAGTAAACACTGCTGCTTATATGTGTAGTAATTCACTCCTGCATCGAGTGCAAGATTATTCAACAAAAACTTGTCTATGATTGTTCTTTTAGGAATTAATAAGTCAGATCATACAATATGTACAGTGATATGGAATAAAGAAACATTCACTTATCTTAGATTGTGCTGCAAACTGCTACAGCAAACACTGGCCAAGTATTGGAATGTTGAGCAGCAAGCTCATTGGCTGCTGATGCAAAAGAAACCAATCAGCTGCGCCATGTAGATAACAATGTGACTGCTAGAAGATTGAGTTATCAGCCCACACCATCAAAGGTTTCATGACAGTACTTTGTATTTAGGTCCGTAAGTATTTGGACATCAATGCAATTTTCAACATTTTTGCTCTGTACACTACCGAAATGGATTTGAAATGAAGCAATTTAATCTGACATTCTTTACATTTAAACTGGGTTGATGGTTTCAGAATTTTGGGTAACACTTTATTTTAGGGTCTCTAAACTAGTTGCTTATTAGCATGCATATTACTAGAATATTAGCTAATTAAGCACATATTAATGCCTTATTCTACATGACCTTATTCTACATCCCTAATCCTACCCAATACCTAAACATAACAACTACCTTACTAACTATTAATAAGCAGCAAATTAGGAATTTATTGAGGAAAAAGTCGTAGTTAATAGTGAATAAGTGTTCCTTATTCTAAAGTGTTACCAAATTTTGAAATCCTCGGTGAAGAAAACCCCAACTTCTAGCTAATTGAGCACTCTCCAGGAGCGAGGTGAATCATTATCAAAGTCTACAGTGAAGAGAATTAATGTAAATAAATAGAGTTTACAACAAGGTGCAAACCCACTGATAAGTCACAAGAATAGGAAGACTATGGCTGTATTATCAGCTTAAATCAGGGTTCCTCAATTCGTTTTTAGCCGAGGGCCGAATTCGGCCAACAATACCAAGCCAAGGGCCACTGACCTATATATAATTGTTATTATTATTACAATTATTATATTATTGTTGCTTTTGTTAAAATAATCACAAGATGGTCACAAGATGAATATTCAGATTTTTTCCCCAGTAGTCTGTTTTATTCAAACAATTATGAACATTTTTGCATTTAGATACAGAAGAACTTTGTGTTGAATATTAAAAACAAATGAACAAACAAAAACATATGGATCTTCATGTCTGCCATGCAAATCAACTGTTCCTGCTCATTCCCAGACTGGATCTCTTCTCTCCACTTTCCCTAATTGCAGATTCAATTATTAGATTTGTCAGTATTCATATTTTTATGCTTAGATTTTTTTGGGGGGATCTTTTCCTTGTAGTTTTTGTTCTAACCACCCGTGACAGCGATAGGTGACAATAAGCGACATTGGATTCTATTGTAGAAATGTTTTTTATTTTCTGCACGTCGCGGCAGGAACAACATACAAAATATGACAGTGATAATCTCAGGTAATGATTATGTGCTTTATTCAATGTTAAAAGTGTCTAATGTGAGTTTGAATATTATTTTGCGTTATCTTTATAGCCATAGTGAAAGCAACAATAGATATTTTACCTCAGATCTCGAAAATAAATTAAAGCTCCTGCTCATTCCCAGACTGGATCTCTTCTCTCCACTTTCCCTAATTGCAGATTCAATTATTAGATTTGTCAGTATTAATATTTTTATGCTTAGATTTTTGGGGGGGGACCAAACTGTAACACTGTGTGTCCCAACCAGACACAACGCGATAAAAAGTATCTTTTCCTTGTAGTTTTTGTTCTAACCACCCGTGACAGCGATAGGTGACAATAAGCGACATTGGATTCTATTTTAGGAACGTTTTTTATTTTCTGCACGTCGCGGCAGGAACAACATACCTTTTCTTTTCTACACACTCACCATGTTTTTGCTGTCACATCGTATATACACTGGACGCGACAAACCATTGCAAATCATTTGAACGTTGGGTCAGTACATTATAAATAGAACGAGTCAGCAGTTTACTGTCGGGGATTTGTCGTGTCGCGCCGCATCCAAGACAGCATCACTGATTATAATCTTGTATTTTATTGCGTCGCGCCGCGTCGCTCGCGTCCGTTGTAGACACGATGTAAGTTAATGTAGCTTTCTGATGCTGTGTTTGAATTTTCATGCCAAATTATTTGAAATTAGCGTGGGCCAAACTTTTTTCTCTCACGGGTCAGATGTGGCCCGCGGGCAGAAACTGAAAACAGATGCAGTAAAGGTCAGGTTAAGCATTACATGGTATGAAACCCATGAATTTGGTAATAGCCATGGGTTCCAGATGGGTCACTGTCCAAATATTTATGGACCTAACTGTTATATTAAAAGCAATGTACAGTAATATTATTAATAATATATGATATAACAATAATACATGAATATCTAAACCTGGTGCTTTTCATAGGTAGTTTAAGATTAAATTTTAAAAATATACTGTAAAGGAGCAAAGTAAAATACCATTGTTGTTTTAGAAATTATTACAATATATAGTTTATAATGTAATACAATTTCACAAAGTAAAAACTTTATTTTTTTACTGTTATGAGCTCAAAATATTATTGTTTTGTGATGTTACATATTACATTATGAACATTTTATGACATTAATAGTAATATCTTATATATTAACAACTTGATGGATTATGTAGCAACTCACAATGTACAGTAAGTGTTAGTTTTGTAAAACTCTGCATCTTCTTTTGCCCTGAATGCTGAATCAAGTTTAACAGTGACTGTTGGATCATCTGAGATTGGTGATTTCAAGGTGAGATCTGAGGAAATATAATAATCAATTACCAGACACTGATGATTCATGTCATATATTCATTTTGGTAGATCAACATAATAAGACGTTTCGTTTTCTTTGTGTTATATTTCAATGTACAGACTGCCGGGCTCGAGCACATATTAGTGATTGCAGTAAACATATTTGTACTTCCAAAACTAAATGGTAAAAATTTCAAATTATATTGCATTTATTATAAACTGTTTCATTATTTAACGTATTCATAAGTGTGTACATTTCCTTGCAACCAAGTAAAGAAAAGTTTGAAATCTATAGACTTTGCAAACTTGGTTTTAGAAAGTCTGGGAATTTTTGTTATTAGGGCCCGAGCACTGAAGATGCGAGGACCCTCTTGGAATTGTTTTGTTTATTATCATTATTATTCTACTTTGTATTGTAGATTACCTGAAGACTGGCTTTCTCCTACCCACACTGCAGGACTTTAGTTTGATTAATTCTAAATTGCTCATAAAAAATGTAAGTACTATTAAGTTACTATTACTATTATTATTTACTATTATATTAGAACATTGTTTGCTATTGAAAAGTTGTTAGAAAGCAACTCAGGGGTAGAGTCTAAATTTGTTTTCCCTTTGTAACTATCTTTCAGGGCTTTGTGGTCATTTTTTCTGATGTTGAAGATTCTTGGACAGTCTCAATGAAAACTAAGGTCCAAACTTCTCCAAATAATCACTTCAATGGAGTCAATTTGCATGCATAAGTAATCTGGCTTGCAAGGAAGGGTGGCGTGATGTCTTTCAGCTAGAGTTTGGAGGAAGATTATTTGTTCTGTGACAAATTTATATATATATATATTAATCATAAGCAGTCCATTATCTGTCATGTTTATGTTGTGTTCTAATGACTTTTAATTTAGAGCTTATGTTCTGTTTTTTTTTTTTTTTTTGTATCCTCCCCTGTGTTTAGTTCCTGGTTCCTTATTGCCTTGGTTTTTGATTATGTCAATTTTTCCCATATTTACTGATCATGCACACCTGCTTTCAATCTTTTAGTCGTGGTCTCTCTATACATAGCTTGTGCATGCTGTGTAATAATCATTTGAAACCTAGCAAACTGGCAGCTCCAGTAGTAATGAAAAAATGCCTTATTTAAAGGGTATAGGGTGTTATTTCGGACACAGACTCTTATTGTTTTCTGTTTATTGTTTTAGTATAGCCATGTTTCAGTAAGCCAGTCAATCTGTAGTGTTTTTGCTGTTCTTTTGGATGTAATCTTCTTTTTACCTTTTATTTATCTTGTATCTTCTTCTATGCTTATTAAAGCTGCAACTAGATCCACATCTACTCCTTTCCCTGAGAAACTTTACAGTATCCATGTTATTTCTGTATTATACAAGATCTTGAAGGCTTTTGGGTACAACCAAGGCTGGTACACACGTGATGGATACAGATGAACGTACCGGGAGATCTCCACACTAAACAAGCAGGTTATAATGTCCAACATGAGACTGCGTATTACACACTCTACCTGAGCAACACTACTGAATTGAATAGTATTTTATTCAACCTGTAGAGCAACACATTCCACAGATCAGGGAGATTCCACACTGAGTCATCAGGAGGTCATAAAACTAATCAATTTGGAGTAGACGTCACAGTTACGTCACTTGCAGCTGCACGCACATTGTGGTAGCAGAAAAACACTGGGAACAAGTGGAGGGAAACGAGTAAAATCCATAAGAGAAAGAAATGTATTGTTGTGCCTTTGGATGTCAGAATTGGAATGCAAATAATTTTTATATAATACTGTCGTCAAAGACGCCATTTGAAGTTAAACGCAATCGTTTAAATGGACAAACTATGGATGAAACCTGCTATGATTACCCTACTTTTAAAGCTTAAATTTGATTTAAACAATAGGTCTATATAATATTCACATTGGGGACATGTACTAGCCCTATAGTTAAAGCATGAAATACTATTTAAACCTATAACATTTTACATAACACTTACCTATTTTATCTCACAATTCTGACTTTTTTTCTTGCAATTGTAAGTTCATATCTCCTAGTTCGGACTTTATAACTTGATTCAGCTCAACAATTGAGAGTTTGCCAATTCTGAGGGAAAAAAGCCAGAAGTGTGGGATTATAAACCCATGATTCTGAGCCGAGTGAAAAAGAGAGAATGACAAGTTGATTTTTCTTACCAGAATTGTTAGATACAATCTCGGAATTGCAAGAAAAAAGTCAGAATTTTGAAATATAAACTCAAAATGACCTTTTTTATTCTTTTATCCCATGGCTTCCATAGACTGCTACGTTAAAACTGTCATTTTCTGCCACCAGATAGGCTCCACCCACAAAAAACATCATCACTGTTTACCCCCACACACGGGGTAAAAGGCACACGGTATTGATACAAATACTTCAGCTAAAATAATGTTTTTTTTAAATAACGTCTAAGTTAATACTTGTTCAAAACAATCACTTTAGCAAAGTTTGTACTGTTATTTATAATCTCGGAATTGCAAGAAAAAAGTCAGAATTTTGAAATATAAACTCAAAATGACCTTTTTTATTCTTTTATCCCATGGCTTCCATAGACTGCTACGTTAAAACTGTCATTTTCTGCCACCAGATAGGCTCCACCCACAAAAAACATCATCACTGTTTACCCCCACACACGGGGTAAAAGGCACACGGTATTGATACAAATACTTCAGCTAAAATAATGTTTTTTTTAAATAACGTCTAAGTTAATACTTGTTCAAAACAATCACTTTAGCAAAGTTTGTACTGTTATTTATAGTATTTATAGCTTATTTTGAAAAATAAAAGAATGATTTTTTTTCAATAAATACACTGTCATTAAAATATGTTAATATAAAAAATATATTCTAAAATACAGTGCTTTTTACCCCAAATACCATACTTTTACATATTATTTCGTTATTTAAAAACTGTTGATTTAATTATCTTAAACAAAACTGAAAATCGTTAAGCAGACCTCTGTCTCAAAATACATGCATTAATTTTAGCGATTCTCATTTGCTACTTAAATCTACAACATTTAAAAAAACATCAAATATTAGATCAAGTAAGCACAGAATCAACTTTGCACTGCTGCGCGCGATCATGTCAAGGATCAGACAAATAAACGTGCATCTTGAAAAGCGCATGTTTAGGAAAGTGCTACGCCACGTTTTTGTGCCATCTAGTGGTTTAGATGAAAATAATATCAGAGGCGCCTTTTACCTTTTGCCTTTAGCCCCGTTGTACCCCATATATATATATATACAGTGCCTTGCGAAAATATTCATACCCCTTCATTTTTTTTTTCTCGTTTTGTTATGTTGCTGCCTTATGCTAAACTGCTTTAAATTACTTTTTTTCCACATCAATCTATACTCCATACACCATAATGGTAGGTCAAAAAACAGGTTTTTAAAATCTTTGCAAATTGATTAAACATAAAACACTTAAATGATTACATTGCGTAAGTATTCATCTGGGACAGTTGAAATTTAGCTCAGGAGCATTCATATTGCTTGTAGATGTTACTACACTTAGAGTGAAGTTAACCTGTGGCAAATTCAATTGTATTCAATTGAATTCAATGTATTATTGAAATGTGTACATGATATTAAGACATGGATGTCTAATAATTTCCTGCATGCCTGTAGAGCTCAGAAACAGGTTTGTGTCAAGCCACACATCTGGGGAAGAGTTCAGAAAAAAAATCTGCTTCGTTGAAGGGTTACAGAAGCATGTAGTCTCTATTACCATTAATGGAAGAAGTTTGAAACAACCAGGACTCTTCCTAGAGCTGGCCTCCTGGCCAAAC